TGACTGAGTAATATAAATGCCTGTTCAAGCCCCTGCTCTCATTTTTAGTTATATGCCTAAAAGTGGACTTGCTAGATCATGTGTTAAGTCTATGGTTTTTAAATTAAAAAAAAATATATATTTTACATGTATAAAGTTTTGCCTACATGTATGTCTGTGTACCATGTGCATGCCTGGTACCCACAGAGGCCAGAAGAGAGTGTTGGGATTCCCTAGAACTGGAGTTACAGATGATTGTGAGCCATCATGTGGGTACTTGGAATCGAACCCAGGTACTCCACAAAAGCACCAAGTGCTCCAGACTGCTGAGCCATCTTTCCAGCCCCCTAAGTCTGTGTGTAAAGTTGTGAGCATCCATAGCACCTACACCAGTTACATCCCTGATGTAGTTGGACCCCGGCCCCACCCAAACAGCTGTCAGTAATGGTGGCTATAAAGTGTCAAGTTCAGTCTGCAGACGGCCTGGTGCTTGAGAGACTTAGGAAGAGTATTTATTAGGTCTGGAGTCCGTGGGTTCAGAGACTTCTGCAGAAAGTGTAAGAGACTTCTCTGTATTGGCTGCTTACACAGTGTAGAGGTGGCACCTGCCTCTGTGATATTTGGAAGCCTTGGACAGAAATTATGTCCTCACTCACTTTCCTGTCACGTTTTTACTTAGACTAACCCTAGTTATAACATCTTTGCAGCTTTGGTGGAGCAGGGCCAGATTGAACATTTGGAAAACATGGAAAGTTTTAGACTAGAAAAGGGGCAAACCAAGGGTGGTGGTGGAAGGAAAAATTGTAAATATTTCATGAGACTTTAAATGGAAGGAAGAGGTAAGTGTAGTTTGTGCTGTGGTCAGGCACAGCTGGATCCTAGAAGTTGAGTTATGGATAGGAACTCAACCCTTCTCACAGCAGTGTTAAATGGCTGGATGTTATATTTGAAGGATCTTCCATAGAAGTTTGTGACCTGGTGGACCTTACTTGGTAATAATTAAAATGCATTACCCCTCCTATTAGAAGTTCATATCAAAACTTGGAGTACTTCGGCTTTATTATAATGATAGCTTAAGTCATGTTGGATTTGTAATCTGTCCCCATATCTCCCTACTTAATTAAAACAAAACAGGGCTAGTGAGTTGGCTCAGTGAGTAGTGAGCTTGCTGCCAAGGATGAAGCCTGAATTTGATCCCTGATACCCACATGGTGTGGGAGAGAGAACCGATTCTACAGGTTGTCTTCTGATTCCCACACATGCGCAGTGGTACAAAAATAGACATAAATGTAATAAAAGCAAAAAACAATGCTGGGTCTTAGAGAGAGATTAGTAGCCTAAATTTACTTTTCTTAATGAAAAGATACTGGAGAATGGAATGTACAGATGGTCATTCATGCTTAGCTGGGTAGACTGGCAGGGCTTATTCAAGGAGTAATTGCCAGGTTTTCCCTCACCTTACATGGAGAGGGCCGGGATTCTTCACCTGAGTAACATGCTAGAGGGGCTATAATTTGTAATTTCTATGCTACATTGTGAACTTAGACAGAACACTTCTTTCATTTTGTCATAAAAGAAAACTCCAACAACTCATTAGGATTCCTGGGCAGTCTGAGTACAGCTACTAATGTATCTTAAAGAATGGAACTGAGTTTACAAATAGAACTTTAGAAAATGAAGTAAGGATGAGATTGATCTGCTGTCAGCACAGGTTCAACCGCCCCAATATAAAACTTAAGTTTTGCTTCAGAGAGTGTATTTCTATTTTCTAAAATTCCTAACCCAGAAACTGCTGTCCTGCAGCTGATTTTGAGGTGGACTAAATGAGACCTTTCCTTTCCTTTCCCCTTTTTCCTTTCCTTTCCTTTCTTTCTTTCTTTCTTTTTGTTTTTTTTTTTTTTTTTTTTTTGGTTTTTCGAGACAGGGTTTCTCTGTGTAGTTTTGCGCCTTTCCTGGAACTCGCTTTGGAGACCAGGCTGGCCTCGAACTCACAGAGATCCGCCTGCCTCTGCCTCCCGAGTGCTGGGATTAAAGGCGTGCGCCACCACCGCCCAGCCTCTTTTTGGTTTTTTGAGACAGGGTTTCTCTGTGTAGCTTTGGCACCTTTCCTGGAACTCACTCTGTAGCCCAGACTGGCCTTGAACTCACAGAGATCGGCCTGGTTCTGCCTCCCCAGTGCTGGGATTAAAGGCGTGCGCCACCACCGCCCGGCGTGAGACGTTTTCTTGGTGAAACATGCTGCTTCATGTCTGGCTTTTCTTTCATTGTAGACCTAAGATTATAGTTTTATTTAATCAAATGAGTAATTTTTAAATTACTTGGCTAAGGCATTATACAAGTATTTCTTTAATAATGTCTTCATTGTTTTACGGTGGAACTGATGACATTTTGTCCTGAAGGCAGAGCCTGCACAGTAGTGTTCTGAAACTCCTTCTTGATGAACTCAGTCCACTTCTGAAACCGTTATGTAGTAGTCTCAAGATGACAAAATGCTTCTGAAGCTCTAGTGCTGTATATGTTTTAGGAGATATTTAGTGCAGATGGACACATGTACAGCAGAAGAGCTGGTTACTTACTTGTTTTGTGGCTTATACCTGTAATCTCAGTGCTGGGAGACAGAAGCAGGAGGTTGAGGCCATCCAGGACTACATAGTAATACACCATCTCAAAAAACACATAGATAGATAGATAGATAGATAGATAGATAGATAGATAGATAGATAGATAGATAGAGACAGAGAGATAGACAGATTGAAAGAAATCTGTAAGATAAAATATCATGAACTGGGGATCTAGCTTAGTTGGGAAAGTATTTGGCATGCAAACATGAGACTTAAATGCACTGCCCCAGTACCTATGTGAAAAGCTGAGTGTAGTGGCATGAATTTATAATCCTAGCGTTGAGAAGATGGATGCAGGAGAACCCCAGGCTCAGTGCCATGCATAGTCTAATTATTGAGTGCCAGGCCAATGGAAGACTCTGTCTTAAAAAAATTCAAAGTGCATAGTATCTGAGGAATGACATCCAAGATTGACTTCTGGCCTCCACAGTTGCTGTTTTTTCTTACCTGTTCTTTATATAATTGTAAATATAAATTATAGGTACATACTTTGAATCCACATTGATTTAGAAGACAAAGTTATAAACTTTATTGGCATCTCAGTTTTTTGTTTTGTCTTTTTCAAGACAAGAGTCTCACTATGTAGACCAGGCTGGCTTTGAACTCACAGATCCACTACTTCTGCCTCCCAAGTGTTGGGATTAAAGGTGTGTGCCATCATTCTCTGCTTATTATAGTTATTTTTAAAGCTGTCTCTAAATGGGAGAAATATTAACCAAATTCTTTTTGATTTTTCCAGAGTGCTTGGTATAAATGAATGGCAGAATACAGGGTTCCAGTATGATGTCATCAGCTGCTTAAATCTGCTGGATCGTTGTGATCAGCCCCTGACATTGTTAAAAGATATCAGAAGTGTTTTGGAGCCCACCCAAGGCAGGGTCATCCTTGCTTTGGTTTTGCCCTTTCATCCCTATGTGGAAAACGGTAAGTGTGGACAGGCCAACTCTTCTCAGAATGGTTATCTATTGGTAGTTTTGGTTTTGTGTGATGATCAACTAAACGTTGTCTAGTGTTTCTTAGTTGCCTAGAATTTAAAATAATACAATTAGCCATGTATAATATCACCTTGGTTAATGCTTATCTTAATACAGATTTTGTAGCACTCTAGTACTCCCCTTGCACTATAATAATTGATACTCAGCTGGGTCAGTGCATCTGTGTCTGTACTCTGTGTCTTTAAATGGTGCTTGAGCCATTTATTTAGTAGCTTATAAGCCAAGTCAAGCAGTGAATTGTATTTTTTAATCTGCTAGTAGATACTTGCTAAATGTCATGGCTGTTTTGTTTTACATTTTGTAATTCTTGTCCCAGACTCTAAAAATGATGAGTGTTCTCTTTTGAAGATATTCATGTCCCAATATGTATCATTTCTTTGAGTAACAGGATTTTTTAAAAAAATTAATTTTATTACCATTTTTAGATTTGTCTCTGTGTGTTTGTGCATGTGAGTACAACATCTGCAGAGGTTAGAAGATGGCATCAGATCCCTAGGGCCTGGAACTGCCCTGCTTGGCTTCTGGGAAGTTGGGTCCTTTGGGAGACCAGTGCATGTTCTTAACTGTGAAGCCATTTCTCTCTCCAACCCTTGTCATGTGATTTTGTAAATCAACATTGCTGGTCTTCATTGATATTGATTGAAGAGTATGCTAGAAGAGATGGGCTGTTTCCTGGCACTTAGATTTACTGTGGCTTCTGACACTGTAATTTAATGTCACGGTAATTCATACTTCAGCTGCTGTGGTTTGCACTTAAGGTTGTCTTGAAAATTACGGTTTTAATCCTCTCTTCTCCATTTTGATAAATTAATGTACTAATATAAAATTACTTATTGTACATGTTAATATTTTAAAAATCTTTAGTCTTTTATTTCTTTTTTTTCCTGAGACAGGGTCTCATGTAGCCCAAGCTAGCCTTAATCTTACTATGTAGCCAAAGATGACCTTGATTTTTTGATCCTCCTGCCTCCAGTGCTAGGATTTATGTGGTGTTAGAGATTAAACTTTTTAATCTTTTTTTAAAACCTTTTAATTAAGGTGCTTGCATATTCCATAGTTCTGTTCTTGTCCTTATTTTTCACCCATGGTCATAGTCTTACCTTCCCTCCTTCCTTCCCTCCTTTTTTTTAACCCCCTCATTATTTCTTGTTTGCTTGCTTGTTTTGGGGACAGGTTCCCAAAATTCAGCTGGTTTGAAACTCATGATCCACCTGTTTCAGATTCCCACATGCTGGGATTGCAGGGAGGTCACTGTAATAGGGTTCTCCCGTTGTTCTTAATGCTTGTCTTTACGTTTACCCCAAATTGTTGCTGCTTTGGGAAATAGGAAATTCGGAAATTCTCCCTCCCTCCCTCCCTCCCTCCCTCCCTCCCTCCCTCCGTGTGTGTGTGTGTGTGTGTGTGTGTGTGTGTGTGTGTGTGTGTGTGCGTGCGCGTGCGCGCGCGCGCGCAGGCAGGCAGAGGACGTTGACATCAGTTGTCTGTCTGTTGCTCTTCATCTTAGTTTTTGAGACGGGGTCTCACTGAACCTGGAACTTGCCTTCATAGCTGGACTGGTTGGTCAGCAAGCCCCAGATAGCTGCCTGTCACCGCCCCCCACCCCCACACCATTACAGTTCCATACTGCCACACCCGTCTCTTGTGTGGGTGCTAGAGATCTGAACTCAGGTCTTAAGTTTGCATAGAAGCATGTTAACCACTAAGTCATCTCTGCATCACTGAGCCTTCTTCCTAGATTTGGTTTTGAGGCTGAATCTCATGTAACCTTAACTAGCTGTGTAACTGGGGATAGCTTCAACTCCTAATCCTTCTCCTGCTTCTGCTCTAAGAAGTGGGTTACAGGTGCTTGCCTCCATACCGGGCTTGAAGATAGAAAATCTGTAGACATAGCAGGGCAGGAAGAAGATGGGTGGAATAGCTGTCCTCTCTCCGATCTTCCTTCTCTGTACATTACGTTCCTGTTGTTGAATGGCTTTTCAGCCTGCTGCAAGTGTGCTTGCCATATCTATACATACACGTCACGTGTATGTCACACAGTGAAAAGACGAGTGAGTGTCCTCTCATCTGACCTAGCTGCAGTGCCGCTCGTTCTCTGTGATGAAGCCTTGGCTCCACTTCTGCACTGTACTCGCTAGTCACTGAGTTGTGAGGCTCTGGCTTCCTGTGTCCTGATGGGCACACATGATAGAACTTTAATGCTGCTTCCTGGCCTAGCAGGAGGTGGAAAAGCAGGAGGAAGAAACATCACTCTAACCACAAACTTCATTTCCTCGTGTTTCTGACAAGAAACATGAAAGGAAGTCAAGCTAAACAAGAGCACAGTCTTCACTTAGGACTGAGAACAAGCTCCTTGATTGTGGGTGTCCAGAGCTGCCTGTGGACTCTGTGGAGTCTGGCCTGTGACACATTACAAATCTGAGACAAAGCCTTGTTGCTAGGGGTGACCTTTATTGACCTGTAACTTCTGCAGATTGTCCGGGCACTCTGTTATTGCTGTTGCTTCCTTTCTCCAAGTCTCTAATTAGACCCTGATGATTTCCATGGGAAACTGTGAGGACTGGAGACTTCAAGGCGCAGTGGGCTTGTTGTGAGGGTGCCTGAGTGTGCTTAGCCTGCTTTGCTTAATTAATTAATTAACAAAAAGCAATTATAGGTGAAATGATTACTCCTGGTTTTTTGGCAGGGGGCGGGGTGCAGTGTCGTGCATTTAACTACAACTTTGTTGTATAGACTAACTTAGAAGAAGCAGTTTCATGTTTCATTTTTAAAGATTTATTTTATGTGCATTTGTGTTTTGCCTGCACATTTGTCTGTGCGAGGGTGTTGAATCCTCTGGAACTAGAGTCACAGACAGTTGTGAGCTGCCATGTGGGTGCTGGGAATTGAACCTGAGTCCTCTGGAAGAGCAGCCATTGTTCTTAACTTCTGAGCTAGCAATCCAGCCTTGCCTGTGTTTCTTTTTAATCTGTTTACTTGGTACCTTCACTTAATCTTCATTACGGGTTGATAATCTGGTGAGACGTGATCAGGGAAAAGAATGTAATTAAGGAGAATTACATTGTACAAATGAAAATTTAATAACATGATTAATTTGTTAAAATTATAATTTTATGCAAAATCATTCATGGTAAAAATGGTTCAGGGAGCTTGCACAAGGGCATATAATGAAAAATCTTTTTTTACTCCAGTCTCTTTTTGGTTTTAGATCACCTAAATGTTCTTCAAATGTTACTCCACATGTATGCAGATAGAAGCTGTTAGGAATACTTTAGATACTTTCCCCTGAAATATATCTAGGAACACACTTGTGGCAAGTGACCTGGATGTAGTGGTGTGCTGGGCCGTCTCGGACTGACTCACGGGACCCAACTGTCACCTGGAGTGGATGCAGTGAGTGGCCTGTTCAGAAGGACTGCCATTGCAGTTGAGCATGGTGGAAACATTGACATATGGAGTTTAACAAACTACAGATTATTTTCTCCTTCTTCAATGTGGTTGTTAGCATTTCCTGTTGTAGGATGGAGGCAGACACTAGCAGTCAGCTTTTACATTGTCAGTAACAAAAATGTGGGCATGATGGCTTATGCTGGGAAGCCTAGTGCTTGAGAGGCCAAGGCAGGAGCTGCAGGAGTAGGTCAGGCCTAGCCTGGTCTACATCGTGAGTTCCAGGTAAGTCTGCTTTACACAGATTGTCAGCTTTAGATTACTGCTTGGTTGATACCCTTTTTTTTTTTTTCTTTTTAATTTGGAGACAGGGTTTTTCCATCTAGTTTTGGTGCCTGTCCTGGATCTCGCTCTGTAGACCAGGTTGGCTTTGAACTCACAGAGATTGGCTCTGCCTTCCGAGTGCTGGGATTAAAGGAGTGCGCCACCACCGCACGGCGTTGATACATTTTTTAAAAAAATTCTTTTTTATTAAGAGTTTACAAATGTTGGAGTTAATATTGAATTTTATATCTGAGTGTTCAGCATCTCTGGGGATGATCATACTGAATTGACTGGGAGGCCTCTTTAAGACAGTGTCACTTGGTTCTGTGGCACTTGTATTCATAAACATTGTAAATGAAAATGCCATGAACAGCTGGGTATGGTGGCGCATGGCTTTAGTTCCAGCACTCAGGAGGCAGAGAGGGGCAGATCTCTGTGGGTTTGAGCCTAGCCTGGTCTACAGAGCAGGTTCCAGGACAGCCAGGGCTATACAGAGAAACCCGATCTGAAAAAAACTAAAAAAGAAAATGCCATGCACATTAATATTATCACCTTTTTTTTCAGTTCTAGTGATTGGACCCATAGTCTTGCATGTGCTATGCAAGTACTCTACACTGCAGCGTATCTTTAGCCGTATATGTTGTTTAAATTGCTTTATTTGTTTGTATGCATGTTGGGAGATATACTTGTGGAAGTGAGAGAACAGCTTGTGGGAGTTGGTTCTCTCCTTCTACCCTGTGGGTCCCAAGAATTGAGGTCTTCAAGCTTGGCAGCAAGCACCTTTACATTTTGAGCTATCTTGCTGTCTCTTGATTTTTAAAAATTGATTTATGTCCATGCATTGGGTTGTGTGAGTGCAGGTGCCTACAGAGGCTAAAAGACAAGGAGCCAGAATTACAGGAGGTTGTGAGCCACCTGACATGGGTGCTGAGAACCCAACTCCTATTCCTGTTAGAGCAGTAACTGCTCTAACTACTCTTAACATCTCTCCAGCTCCGTCCAGCTCACCCTTGAATTTTTATTTGAGATAGGGTCTCACTAGGTTATTAGGCTGGCCTTGAACTCAGGATATTCTTTCCTTAACCTTCTGAAGAGATAAGGTTATACAGATTTGACCACAGTGCCTCATAGACAGCATTACTACTATTGATAAGTAAAATGCCTATAGCTGATCTTTATGTTTATGGGGGATATTATCTTGGTTTTATAACATTGTTCTGCTGGTTTTTTCGAGACAGGGTTTCTCTGTGTAGTTTTGGTGCCTGTCCTGATCTCGCTCTGTAGACCAGGCTGGCCTCGAACTCACAGAGATCCGCCTGGCTCTGCCTCCCAAGTACTGGGATTAAAGGTGTGTGCCACTGCTGCCCAGCTGTTCTGCTGATTTTGTAGAAAACAATTAGGAATGTTATACTCTGTGTTTTATTCTTTGAAAATTTGATAACATTGTTTTGTGAAACTGTTGCGTGAGGTCTGTGCTTTTCAGAAATAGCCTGCTAGCAACTTTCTTACTCATTTATAAGGTCATGATCTGATTAAATTAAGACTATTATGTTGTTGTTGTTATTATTATTATTATTATCATAGTGTCCTGCTATATAGTCTTGGTTGGTCTGGAACTTGCTATGTAGCTTGGGGTGGCCTCAAATTTATGTTTGTCTTCCTGCCTCTGCTTCCTGAATGCTAGGATTTATAGGCATACCCATTATTCCTGGTTAGACATTTAGTCTAAAACTCTCACTCACCCAGATAGAATCAAGGAGGACTTCCAATCTGTTTTGTGGAAAGAGCTTAATATCAGAGGGCTAACCTCTGTTTGAATTTGAAATATTGGTTAGCCTGGCTTCTCAGTCATCTGAGAGCTTCACCTGCCCAAAGTGGCTAATACCCGCATTGGGGTTTATTATGAGGATTAAGTCATGTATTAAACAGCGACCAGCTGTATGGGTCTGGTTTCTGGTATTTGATCCATGCTAGATTTGTTCTAGTTTATCCCATTCTCTAACTGTTTTTATTTGTGACTTTAGTGATCATACTTGTTCACAGTTCCTCCCACAGAAGTATTTGCCAGTGTCTTTTAGTCTGCTTTAAACTCATAACAAAAGCATTCAGAATCTGAAGGCTTCATTTTGCGTTTTAACTGTCTCAAAGTGAGTTCTCCATTGGTGTATGTGACTCCACAGCTATATTCCCATTGGTCACAGGTTTGAGATTCCTTACAAAGATGAAAACGGAATTAACTTTTTGAAAACCGAGGATATAGATAAGACTTCTGGATCCATCTGCCTCTTCTGTGTTAAGCCTCCCCACCATTGTGCTGGGTCTGGGAGGTGGGCCCTTTGGGAGGTGATGGGGTCACTAGGTCAGTATCTTGTACTGAGGTCCCAGAGCCCGTACTCTGCCTTTAGCAGTTTGGAGGAGGGACCTAATTAGAACCTACCTTGTAGCACCCTGATTCCACTTCAGCCCCCAGTACTCTGAAAAAGACATTGCTGCTGCTTATAAGCCACAAAGCCTATGATACTTTGTCCCAGCAACAGCAACCGACCAAGATGTGTCTCATTTCGTCTTCGCTGTCAGGGACTCTCCAGCCATGATGGGAGGCTGCAGTTGAGTATGCAATAGGGAAAATTCTCTGGATGCTCAGGGAGCAAGAAAGGACTTGGACAGTAGTTTCTGGAGAAAAGTCAGTGGGAGTGAAGTGTTTCTCATCTCAGTTGAAACACAAGGAATTTTAAAATAGAATTATTGTTCAGTCGCATTTATACAAAGGCATTTGAAGGCCTGTGTGCTGGGAAGAGCCAGGCCGCGGAAATACCTCGATAAATGAGCACTGTGCTGCTAGGGATTCTGTTATAGAGTGTAGCTGTACCAGGCCATACTGGGGTAACGTAAAGAGACAGGGCGAAGTATGGTGGGACCAGAGAAGGAAAGATCATTAACTGGGACTTAGGGAAGGCTTTGTGTGCGTCACTGAGCTGTTGTGTGTGTTGTCTTGTTTTTACAGTGCTGGGCTTGAACCCAGGACCATGCTCATTCTGTTGAGCTGTATCTTCATAGTATGTTGCAAACTCACACAAGAGCATATAAAGATATAGACATGGTGAGGTTGGGCTAGGGCAAGTTCAGTGTAAGTCAAGGACAGAGTGCAGGGCTGGCTTTGAGTACAGCCAGTGCTCACCGAGTATTGGGCCCTCTTGTGTGTGATGTTGGAAATAGAGGTCCTTCCTCTGAAAATAACTTCTGAATTTCAGTTTAAAATCCAACTTTGAGGCAGTTGTTGCGTTCATTCTTTGGGAAAGGCATATTAGAATTCAATCCTAATCCATTAGAGATTTGTCTCTTGGAAACAGTGCTCACTGGCAGAAATGAATGGCACACGCATCCAGTACTCTGCTCTCCTAAATGGAGTTAGTACTTGCCTTTTTCTGCCTTCTGGTTCAGAAGTTCGTTTGTTTTGCCTAAGCTGGTAGTTTCAGAGTTAGGGAGTTTGCCTCTTGGAGTCCGTAGGAAGTTCATTTTGGAGTATGGAGGTAGAAAGATGAGTTCATAGGCTGTATGAGGCCTTGTGTCAGAAAGGGAGGGAGGGGAATGGCTCAGTGGTTAAGAGTGCTGTTCCCATCACCCCCATTGGACAGATCACAACCACCTGTCATTCCAGTTTCAGAGAATCTGATGTCCTCCTTTGGCCTCTATGGGCAGCTGCACACACATAAATAAAAAATAAAATAAAAATTTCAAACAACTAACCAGCCAACAGAAATGCTGCTCTGTATGCCACTGTTTTATTCCTTTTGCAGTAGCTAACATACGTATACATATGTATATACTCTACACAATAATGTGTGCGCGCGCACGTACGTGTGTGTGTGTGTGTGTGTGTGTGTGTGTGTGTGTGTGTGTGTGTGTGTGTGTGTGTGTGTATGTGTACACGTACAATTACAGTGAGGTCACCTGCTCCTTCCTTTGCAGTTTTTGGGACACATGTTATCAGGATAGCACTGATTTGAGCCACCAATGTCAGACCCTTCCAAAGAGACTTTGAAATGTGTGAAGACTGTATCTGTGTTTTAAGAAGAGTGTGTGCCATTTAGTACCTGTTTAAAAGAAACTGTATTGCTAGAATACACTGTGATCAAATTTAGTGAACAGAGTGAGCTTGTCGGTACTTTACATTCGAAGAACAATCCATGGCACACCTCTTAGTGAAATAGTGAGGACCTTGCTGGACCAGGCCCTCTGTCTAGGCTCACTGAAAGTGCATGGCCCTGGCACTCCCTGGGCCTGAAGTCTTTGGCACCACACTGACATCTAGAGTCAGTTGTGTGCGTTTGTTCTGCGGCATCTTCTGATCGCTTTGGGTTTCTCTTGGTAGTCTTCCTCTGTCTCTCGTGGTCTTGCCCTCCTTGGGGGTTCTGTGTACTCCAGCAGGAGGAGAAGGTGCACTGCCTCTTGCCCTGTCACTGTATCAGAAGAAGTGACTTTTGTTCCAGGATACTTTTTACAGTGAGTTTCTCTTACTCAAAATTTGGCCTTCTCCTCACTCCTTTTGCCCCCTCTCACTTGATTCTAATTGTTTCATCGATCCCACAACTCAGGAAGACATTTATTCCCCCTCAGAATTGAGATCTGTGGTTTAACTTTAAGCCTTTCCCACGTTACTGGCCGTCACATATCTAGTATGTTGGGTGAACTGACAGGATATATATAACAATTTTAAAAGACTGCTAAGATGAAGTTGTTTTTAAATTAGCTCTTTAGATAGACTGTTCGTGGAAAATTAGAAAAAGAGATCCTCCAGTTGAATTTTCTTGAGGTTTTCATATTTTGTAGTTTCCGTTGGCGACAGCTTCTAACGTTCTGCCTTCTGGTGTGGCTGGCCATCTTTTCCATTTGTTGTGTCTTTTTCTTTTGGTGGTGGCAGTTGTTTTTGGAACAGGGTTACATTTATCTCTGGCCTCACATTCGTCCTGTACTCAAGCATGACCTTGAACCTCTGACCTCTTTATTCTACCTTCAAAATGTTGGGATTACAGCCTCGTGTCACATTGCTGAGTTTTTGGGGTGACGGAGATCAAACCCAGGGCTTTGTGCCTGCTAGGCAAGCACTCTGCCGACTGAGCTACATCCCCAGTGCCCTTTGGTGTTTTTGATTGGCTTGTGTCTATTCACACTGCAGTGGATGCTGGCGTTTCAGTTGCTGTGATTTAATGAAAAGTGAAGCACATCTATGGTCTTCCAGAGTTGGGAAGTGCTCTTCTGTTTTCGTAAGTGCCGTCTCTCTCCTGTGACAGTAAACATGAGCTGTGCTTAACATTATGTTACCAGTGATGTGGTCCTCCAGCTACATAGGAGCTACTCTACCACTATGCACCTTTGGTCTTGTATGCACTTTGAGTGTGTGTGTGTGTGTCCGTGCGCGTGAAAAGAATCCACCCTTTGCTTTATTGTGTGATCTTATGAGACGTGTAGTCCCCGGACTGACTTGGATGACCTTGAGCTTTAGATCCTCTGCTTTTACCCAGTAAATGCTGGGATTACAAGTATATGTTACCACAGATGTGGTGGCACACACCTTTCATCCCAGCACTCAGGAGGCAGAGGCAGGTGGATCTCTAAGTTCGAGGCCAGCCTGGTCTACAGAGTGAGTTCTATGACAGCCAAGGCTACACAGAGAAACCCTGTCTTGAAAAATCAGAAGGGGGGGAGCAAACAACAAAACACAAGTAAATGTTACCATGCTCATCTTGGTTTTGTTTGTTTCTGAAACAGGGCTCAGGGTCTTCCTACGAAGCCCAAGCTGGCCTTGAGTTGATAATTCTTCTGCCTTAGTCTCCCAGGTACTGGGATGACAGGTGTGCACCACCAGGCCTGACCCTTCTAGTTATTCTAAGTCTGGTTTACCATTTTTCCTTTTTTTAAAAGACAGTGTCTCAGGGCTGGAGAGATGGCTCAGAGGTTAAGAGCACTGGCTGCTCTTCCAGAGGTCCTGAGTTCAATTCCCAGCAACCACATGGTGGCTCACAACCATCTACAATGAGATCTGGTTCCCTCTTCTGGCCTGCAGGCATGCATGCAGGCAGAACACTGTATACATAATAAATAAGTAAAAAAAAAAAAAAAAAAAAGACAGTGTCTCACTATACAACCCTGGCCAGCCTACAAGTTGCTCCTTAGACTAAGTTGGCCTCTAACTCCCAAAGATGTGCCCACTTCTGCCTCCCGAGTGCTGGGATCAAAGGTCTGCACCACCACACCTGGCCTCATTTTTCCTTCCTTTAAAGAAGGATATGGGAACTAAAATAAAATCTGCCATGATGCTGTTGTCAAATGACTCAGAGCGTTACAGTTCTTAGGTCCAGTCTTCCTTCCGACTGTTTACTTTTGCTTTCGTTGAAAAGCACTCAGGAGGCAGAGGCAGTTGTGTCTTTGTGAGTTTCAGGCCAGCCTGGTCTACATAGAAAGTTCCCAGCCAGCCAGGACTACAAAGGGAGACCATGTTTGAAAAAATAAGATAAAATAAGCCCTAGCTTCAGTAGGAAAAGTGTGAGCAGGCAGTTTTTGTCTTTATGTTTTTTTATATCACAGGAGAGTGGATTGAATTTGTGGATAACCTTTTTTGGTTAAAAAAAAGTTTAGATTTTTATTTTTAAAAACTGATGCTGAGGGTGGGACCCAGGGCCTTCATGAATACTGGGCAGGTGCTCTGCCATGGAGCTGTTCCCCAGCTCGTGAAAAGCTCTTACAAACTGGATAAGTCTTCCCATCCCACCCCACCCCCCAGCAAAAAAGAAAAGAAAAAAGAAAAAAAATCACTTCATAGTCATCATCCTGTTGTATTTTCCCCTTTCCTAGTTATCTGTTCTCTGTGTCTATTATAGAAGGCTTAGCATTCGGGCCATGTGTTGTGTGGAACCAGATACCCTACTACTCATAAACTGTATTCCCTCGGAAATCCTGACTGTGGCTTGAGAGGACCCTGTCAGGAAGTTGCCTAGACTATCCTGCCCCCAGTGCCCAGTCCCAGAACTAGTAAGATGCTGCTTTTGTATCACTAGCAAATTTTTTCCTTACTGGTAACAAGTAACTTAAACATATTATTTAATCTGCACAGGTTTGCAGCACTGACTGAGGGCCTACTCCTCACTGGCTGCAGTACAAAGTAGCTTTTAGTCCATAAAAGCTCCTTGCCTGGGTTGAAAACCACATCACTAAAATGGGGGCCTCTACCTGTTAAACATTGTATCAAATGCCTTCTGTCATACTTTTGGCTAAACAGGTTCTCTGATAAAGACACTTTGTAGAAGTGTCTTCTAAAGGAAAACTTGGTTATTGACAGCATATTCTTTGCAGGAATAGAAGCTTTATATTTGAATTGTGTCCTGTGCTGTTTTATACTTACAGGCTGTTGGCTTGTTTCCACATATCTCTTATGGTATAATTCTTGAGCTATTTCCTGAAAGATTCGCCGAGCACTCTTCTGTAAAACCAAAAGGGAAGGTTTGTCTTTCAGGAATGTGGGCTCCACCGTTACTGCAGGGGCCTCAGCAGTGGGACCCGTCTGCAGCCACATAGTTAGCTCTTGTGCTCCGAGTGCATTGAATGGATTTATGGCAACCTCCTCCCCAGATGATTGCAGAAGATCCCTAATGGGGAGTAGCAGCCTCTAGGGTAGAAGTTACTGTGTTGTTCTTTGGGCTTCCTAACACAGCTCACATTTGAGCTGGTTCCCGCCCGCCCGCCACAGTGTGGAAACACAAGTACTGGCAGTACCTTTTGTGAGTCTTCTTTGGTTTCTCTACTTCTTGGACTCTTAGATTTTGACTGCCAAGAATAAGAAAATCTGTGAGCATTTTATGATACTATGTTTAAAGAGAACTGAGCTGGCTCAATGTTTGAATGACATACACTAGATAACTTTCATAACATTTTAGGTGCTTTTGTTCAGTTAACAAATGAATTTAACAACTTAAATGGATCTTACTGTAGCATATGAAAGAATTCAAGTAGATATTTATACCCTTACTTGTTAACATATGTACAGATCAAAGATACTCCTTTTTGGTACATTAGGTACATTAGGTAACATTCTTCCGGTTTTCCTAGATGACAGTAGCCTCTCCCCTCCCCACTCCTCATCCTTGCAGCAGAAAGCCAACACAGGTGCCTAATCTCCTAGTTGTGGGCTCTAAAGAAGAAGTACTGAGTTGATTTCTGACTAGTAGTCTCAGTTATGAAGGCTCAAGGATGCCTGCAGCCTCCTCTGAAGTGGAGGCCTGGAAGATGTGAGCCAGGTGTTTGCTGGGCCAGCTGTTTCCTAGCAGACAGATGAAAATAACTTCTGTGGTAACATCCTAGGTGAGAACGTTTGACTTACTTTGAAGAGGACTAGGAAGATCACACACACCCCGGTGATGTAGACAGAGAACAGTGCTAAGAGCACTATCAGGAGACTCTGCACCTCCCTGCTGAGAAGTCTTTCTTCATGGTGGAGACAGAAAGAACAGTCACTGTCAAAGCATGTTCTCACAGGCGTCTAGGAAGCATCACTTATGCTACATTTAGAGGTGGAGCCTGAACGTGCTGTGTTCACCCATCCCAGCAATGTCTATGTGGGGCCCCATGAGTAGAAGATGCTTGAGAATGGGATGGAGTCAGTTCAGTGGCCTTTAAATGTGGTACAACAGAAATGCTTCTTCATAAAATGAATACATTAAAAAATTAAGTTGAAGAGCCAGGCCTGGTGGCTCACACTTTTAAGGACAGCATTTGCAAGGCAGAAGCAGATGGACTCTGAGTTCGAAGCCAGCCTGTTCTATATAGTAGGTTCTAGGACAGCCAGGGCTACACAGTGAGACTCGCTCTCAACCAACCACACTGAGTTGAAACATCTGTTGTAGTGCTAAGAACCACCTTTGTGTTTGTTTTGACTTGGTTTCCCCCTTTCTTACGGTACCATACTGCTTACTGAACCTAGTGCCTCACACATGCTTAAGCCTTCTACCACTGAACGATATCTAGCCCAAGAAGTACTTTTTATAAGCATTACTTAAATACACGGACATTTACATGTTCTTTTGTTAGAAGAGACCAACAGGTTTCACCAAGTCTGTTGGTGCTGTGCAGGTATTTTCTTGGTATTTGTTGGAGCACCTGTGTAAAGCTAACTCGTGCCTTCTGGTAAACACTGGAGGAGCTGGAACCCTGAGGATCTTAGAGCCAGGCCCTTGCTTTAAAGGCAGTTGTAACATGTGTTTTCCCTAGTGAAGCCCTCCAAGGAGTAATACTGTTTTCACATTCTGAATTCTCCTTTTGGGCAGAAGTATTTTGTGTTCAAAGAAGGGACTAAGTAACTTGTGTGTCTTTCAGTACTGATTATATGAAACATGAAACAATGAGATACAAAATTATTTCCCATTAACCTATGGTTCCAGCTAAATATCCCATAGGTACTGTCCCATGGACTCAGTTTATATAATGCACATTTTTTTTTTTTTGTAAAACATTATAACATTTTGCTCAGATCTTTAACCCTTTATCTCACAAGCACAAATTATGGTATAAATCTGGTAGTATAACATCTTGACACAAGCTGCTAGTTTCCAGAACCTCCCTGACTGACTTCATCTGGTATCCACAGACACAGAGGCAAGGGTGGGCCTTTTCCGTTTTCTCTCCATCCCCACTGCATGCCTGCAAGCTGAGCAGCCATTCTTTTTCCCTGTGCAGTGTCTGGGTGTGACACGGGAGGCCTGTGTGTGTGCAGTGTGACACGGGAGGCCTGTGTGTGCCAGTGTCTGGGTGTGACACGGGAGGCCTGTGTGTGCCAGTGTCTGGGTGTGACACGGGAGGCCTGTGTGTGCCAGTGTCTGGGTATGACACGGGAGGCCTGTGTGTGAAGTGTGACACGGGAGGCCTGTGTGTGTGCAGTGTGACACGGGAGGCCTGTGTGTGTGCAGTGTGACACGGGAGGCCTGTGTGTGTGCAGTGTCTAGGTGTGACACGGGAGGCCTGTGTGTGTGCAGTGTGACACGGGAGGCCTGTGTGTGTGCAGTGTGACACGGGAGGCCTGTGTGTGTGCCAGTGTCTAGGTGTGACACGGGAGGCCCGTGTGTGCAGTGTCTAGGTGTGACACGGGAGGCCTGTGTGTGTGCCAGTGTCTAGGTGTGACACGGGAGGCCTGTGTGTGTGCAGTGTCTAGGTGTGACACGGGAGGCCTGTGTGTGTGCAGTGTCTAGGTGTGACACGGGAGGCCCGTGTGTGCAGTGTCTGGGTGTGACACGGGAGGCCTGTGTGTCTTACCAGTTTTCTCAGAAACTGGCTTAGCATTGCAGCACCTAGAATATCACTCTGTAAGACAAACATAAGTGACTAATAAATTGGACTAAGAAAAAATAAAGAGGATTAAACACAAGTTTGGAGAGAAGCCACCAGTATATCCTTAGCCTTTGCCATTCTGCCTGGATATCAGAGAAAAAAACCTGATTACTCTGGCTTCCTGTGAAGATATCTGACCATCCCTCACTCACATGAGGACTCAAACCTACGTAAGCATCGGCAATAATTTCACCAAGCCATTCCCTGAGTAGTCTGAGATAAAGACATTCCAAACAGACTGTGGTAGCATATGCCTATAGTGCCAGCTCCTTGGAAGCTGAGGCAAAAGGAGGACTTGAGCCAAGAGTTCAAAGTCAGCCTAGAACAATATAGCAAGACTTGATTTCTTTAAAGGAAAAAAAAGTGAGCAATAACAAAAAGAAAACCAGAGAAAGGCTTCCCACGATTATGAAAGTAACAACCATATACGAGTCAACAAATGTGACCCAGCCTTGTAAAGTAACAGCCATATACGAGTTAACAAATGTGACCCAGCCTGTGACTGACCTCTCACCACCAGTGTAGTCCCGTTTCCGGTCTGCTTAGCTCTCGGTGCCGGCTCATGGGGAAATGCTATTCCACAGATGTAAACTGCACTGTCGTTTGGAGACACCCTGTTGACAGTGAGGGAGACTTGGTTCTGGTCCAGGGTTTCTTTCACTGTGAACTTGTCTGCCTTATTCCTGCATCCATCCAAGCACAGAGCCTCAGGCGGATGAGTGCCACAGCGAAACCACAGGCTTCTTGGTTGCTTTGAAGAGCATCCAGTTGTGGAAAAGGTACACTCCATGGTGACAGTCTCAGAAGTGTAGTCCACCTCTAGGTAACCTGGCTGCACCACGGAAACAGTACAGGCACCCAGCACACCTGTGTGAGGAAGCATGTGAGTGTGGGGGAGCGTCTTTGCTGTTGCTGCTGCTTGGCACTTTTGGGCCAGGGCCCAGTCAGTCTCTTGATTCTTGTTCTGTTTCCATTATCAACAAGACTATAACGACAACAGTGGGCCTCACCTTGCTAACTCATTGCTGCTGGTCTTTACCTGATGGTTGTTGGCATGCCATCTGACTTCCTGAGGACAACCTCAGAGAGGTTCTCATGGATCAGTGTGGCTGGTGGAAGTGGTGTGTCTGAAGCCAGAAGTACATTCTTAATGCCTACAGGCATTTCCTTGATCACAGGCCATCCATGTAATCTTGAAGAGCCTGTTTCCTCTTGCGCACCCCTTGCTTTGGGGTGTGATTGAGCACATGAGCACCACTAGATTTTCTGCCTGTTGGGGACTGGATTGCCTAGAGATGAATCTGGTGTTCATTTGGGAATTAGGATAACGGGAAAAGATGTACCTATGAGAAAATGCAGCTCTGGCCCAGCCCATGGCTTCCCTGACTACTGTAGAGCTGAGGCCAGGGAGGGAGTCCCCTGTGCATTGGTCTTACTTGACTCGTGTAGTAACAAGGAGAACACAGACTGGAGTTGGAACCCATCTCTGAACTTGCGCGCTGAGTGCTGCCTGAGTTTCCTGTCATGGTGGGGATGCTGCTCCCTTGTGCAGTTCAGACAGAGTTTAAATGTGATGATGCACAAGCCACAGTATCTCATAGCAGCCGTTTCTCTTGTGCCCCTGCCATTCCTGTGCTCCACTGTGTGGAGCTGCTTGGAGCTTGAGTTCCTATCTTGACCTTCTCACCCTAGAAACGCGATGCTGGAAAGTCACATGAAGAATAGTATGGGTTGAGGCAGATAGGAATTTATATGAGTTTTTAGTTCAACTTCTGCCTAGTTGTTTAGGCCAAATGGTCTCAGAAAAAATAATGGGCCAAATGGTCTTACTTATCCTACTTTGTTCTGAGAATGGGGAGGGATGGGGTGGCAGGCAGGTGATCAGTCCAAGTCCTCTGATGCTTATATTCATTTAGCAGTGCTTCTCAACCTTGCTAATGCTGGGGCACTTTAATACAGTTCCTCATGTGGTGACCCCCACCATACAGTTCTTTCATTGCTACTTCATAACTGTAATTTTGCTGTTGTTAGGAATTACAATGTAAATGTCTGATATGTGACCCCAAAGGGTTTGCAGCCCACAGGTTGAGAGCTGCCGGTTTAGGGGCTGGGGCTCTTTTGAACTTAACATTTTGTTCTGTGGGTTCCCACCCAGATCAGCAGAGGCAGTGCAGTCAGTCACGGCGTTGGTGAAAGTCTCTCCTCACATTTCACTGAGCATTGTGTACTGTGAGGGAAACTGAGGTTCTGTGAGCCTTGCTGAAAGGAGTTAGTTGGGAATACCTTCTGGCTTCTGTGCCGAGGGCAGTGGGCTGACCCTCATCTGTTGACTGCAGCCCCTTAACTCTGCCTAGGAACAGTCACCTTAGAAGGCCAGGGACCACTGCAGATTTGAAATGGGTCAGTCCTGTCAAATTCCACCACTGCAGACAGAACCCCAGTCTCAGATGGCTTTCAGGTGAAGATTTTAAAAGTAAAGCCAACCTTTAACACAGTAAGAAGCATTTGCAACTTGGGAGTTTCCTGTCTTAGTCTCAGGGGTGGGAGAAATCATGAGACAGGCCAAGGAAGGGGGCAGTGCTGTTCCCTCTCCCTCCAGTTGAGCAACATTAGCCAAAATGAGAAGTCTAGATCGTGTCTCACCACAGCCCTCTCCTGTGAAGTTTTTCCTTTAGGAATTCTTAGGGTCTGTAGTTTTTTTGTTTTAAATCAGTTCCCACTGAAAATGTTGAAAGTTTATCTTGGAGAAAATAATCACCTTACTACTTTTGAAAACTAAAGGATACCACAAGCTTATTTTGTTTGTGCTAATGTGTGTCTGCCTGTTCAAGTGTATGTAGTCAGGTTTGTGGGCATGCATGCATGAAAGTTGAGGTGTGTGTGGAGGCCAGAGGATAATCTCAGTTGTGTTCTTGAGAACTATCTACTTTTGTTTTCCAGACAGGGTCTTAGTAGTTGAGTAGACTGGGCTGGCTAGTGAGCCCTGGGGATCTGCCCAGCTCTGCCTCCCCATCACTGAGATTGTAAGTGGGTGCCACCAGGCCTGACCTTTTCACATGGGTTCTAGAGACCACACGGAGGTCCCTCTGCTTGCATAGCAAGCACTTTGCCGAGTTATCTCTCTAGCTCCAACATTATTATTATTGATAAATTATTATTGTCATTGCCATTTATTTATTTGTTTGTTTTTGCTTTTTTTCAAGACAGGGTTTCTCTGTGTAGTCCTGGCTGTTTCGGAACTCGCTCTGTAGACCAGGCTGGCCTCAAACTCAGAGATAACTTGCCTCTGCCTCCTGAATGCTGGGATTAAAGGCATGCGCCTCTACTCCCCGGCCCAACATTTATTACTGTGGAAGATGTCAAACATGCCAAAGTTGGTACTTAGCACCGTGGACCCAGCACTACCTCGGTCTTGTTTCCTCTCTCCTTACTATCTCATCTACTCACTCCATTGTTATTGTATCTGCAAACATTTCATAATGCAGCTGGAGACATAAGGTTTTCCTTGAACCAGTTAAAATAGTGTATAAAAGTAGTATATACTTATTGCGACAGTAGGACAGTGTAAGACATCACATGGTTCTTCAGTCAGAAGAGCCACTGTTAACATTTTGGTATAATTCGTTCTCTTCTCCTCCCTGCCCCATTCTGCCCCCCCCCCCCCCCCCCCCCCCGTCCTGCTGCTTTCCTTTCCTTGTCTGTGAACCCTCACTGCTAGACTGCAGACTTACCCTGCATTTCTTTACAGATGAGGAAAACTAATTTCAATTTCAAAACTAATTTGCTCTGTTTCTTTCCTTGCAGTCTAATTCTGTGGGTAAATCTGAGATGATTTACAACTCTGATGAAAGAAATAACTTTTAGAGCTAGGACAGGTCCAGGCAGGATCTGAAGATTGGTTACATTATGGGGTGGCTTTTCTCTAGAACAAGTTACAGTAACATTGTCCTCTGGAAGTATTAGGCAAATCTGTGCAGTGTGCACTGGTCCAGAGCAAGCTTGCCTGTGTGGGAATTGACTCGTTAGCACTTACGGTCCTGAGCAGAGCCTGTCTGTCTGGTGAGCCTGTCTGGTGAGGTGTATGTGCTCAAAGCAGCACAGCGGCAAAGGGCTTGTCAAGGCCGGTAGGAAACCTTCCTTCAGCAGCGGGGAAGAAGAAACCCCACCACCGTACTCTAGTGCTGCACAGTTTAAATTATTTGGCAAGAGCTTAAAGTATACATATATTCGTCAGGAAGCAGCAATTCATTTAAATGAAACAGAGAAAAGGAAAAAAAATCCTCCTTACCGACATGAAATAGGATCAGGCTGATTTCCAGCCAGAGGCCGATCTTGCTTGTGCTCACAGGGCCCATCACTCTGCATGTGCTGGGCATGTACTCAAGAGGATGGCCTTCCTTTTCCTCCTTTCTTTTTTTCAGAAAGAAAGAAGTAAAGAGGAACTCTTATTAAGGAAGCACAAGCAGGAACTTTTAGAAATTGTGTAAATGTGGTTTGTAACAAGTTTCAGCATTTTAAGTTTGAGATTTCAGTTGGGAGTGTTTTTCTAAGTGTGTGTGTATTAGAAATTGTTAGAGGCATTTGATGTTCAGTGTGGAGGTTTGCTTTACACCTAGCTGTGTTCTAGGAAGTCGTGTGGTCCTCAGGCAGTGCTTGACATTTTCAGAGTGCTCTTGATGCTGGGGTAGTCCTCTGAGGGCCTCTCAGGGCCAGAAATTGCCAAACCTGAGCAGCCACAGGCCATGTTTCCTGTAGGCCTGGGAGAAAAACGCATCCCAGTATGGTGAAGAAGTACGTGGCTGCTGTGAAGCCTGTCCACCTGGCTTTAATTCAAAGACTCCTTAGTGTTGACAAGCAAAACGGGTGTGCCCCTTGGTCCCTGTTCTGGGTCTGAGTCCCACACAGCCCCCTCTCACTGCCAGCACACACACCCAGCCTCTATTTGGAACTAGCAGGAACTGACTCAGGCTGAGCCAGCAAAAAGAGACTTGTTCACAAGATTTGAGGTGGCTCCTGGAGTTTTAGAAGGCCTGGCGAACCATGTGAACTCAAAGTCAGGAGGAGCGTGAGTCCCACTGAACTGGAGTGATGCTGAGCTGCTGCCTCCAGGCACCGAGTGCTGCAAACTTGTCGTTGGCACCATCCACCAGTCCACCTCCCTAGCCACCTGATACCAGTGCTTGCACGGAGCACAATGCCGCCTCTTCTTCTGGCTCACCAGCTCTTCATTCCAGCCTTGGCAACAGGCCAAAGGTGTTGCGCCACCCCCTGCTGCAAGGAAGGCCAGAAAAGCAGCTTCCCATCCCACTAAGGATTAGCTCCCCAGGCAGAGAGTGCAGTACTGGCCACTGAAAAGAGCACATAGTCTTTCCCCCAGTATCCTGTGTGCTCTAGTCACCTGCTGGTAGTAGAACCCTTGAGCATCAGAAGCCTCACTCTGAATTCCTCTAAAGCACCCCACATTCAAATATACTCTCGGTTTTGTCTGTATAGTCAGGGTATGGCTTGTAGGAGAATGTGATCTAGCCTGCTTTCCACACCCCAGACTCCTAATACTTACAGGTTTGGAAGTGATTGACAGATGACTTAGGGAATGGGTTGGCATCTCTGGAAAAGCATGTGCATTTCTGTGAATTAAAATTCCTCATGAGCCTATTTTAATTTTCATCCAGTTAACTCTCTAGGCAGGAAGTTGAGTAAGTGTTACATATACGTGATCCCTTGTACTGACCAAAACCTTTCAAATACTAGTGGTGACTCTCTGACCCCATATTTGAGTATTTACTGGCTAGTTTTTTGAGGCACAAAAGAAGCTCTGTCAGTGTAGGCTCTGGATGCAGACAGCCTGGGGTCATCACTGTGGGCAAGTTCTGTCGTACCTTCCAGACTGTGTCCACCTCTCCTGAGGAGTGTGGGGAACTGTTCGAAGATGGCACATCCACGGGCATTCAATACCTGGAGTGCTGGCTCTCCCTTCCCTTCCCTCTCTTAGTGAATCGTTTGTTCAAGGATTTAACTTTATGTTTTCATTTGTTCTAGTAGGTGGCAAGTGGGAGAAACCATCAGAAATTTTGGAAATCAAGGGACAGAATTGGGAGGAACAAGTGAATAGCCTGCCTGAAGTGTTCAGGAAAGCTGGCTTTGTCATCGAAGCTTTCACCAGACTGCCGTACCTGTGTGAAGGCGACATGTACAATGACTACTACGTTCTGGACGACGCTGTCTTTGTTCTCAGACCAGTCTAAACATGTGGAGGCCCAAGCCTTCAGAGTCCACCCCTGGAATCTGCCCTCCAGAAGAGGGGCTGTGTCCAGTGATGTGAGCGGGACTGCCTCTGGGGGCTGCCAGTCTCAGTATCGTGTAGGAATTTTAAAAGCCAAAATACTAATTCTTTCTTTGTAGTGTGTAAAGGAGTGTTTTTAAAAACAAAAACCCAACTCTTTGTGTATTTTTAATCAACTCTTTACTCAGAGTCACGCTCCAATGCAGGTCACTCTCCAATTATGATGGAAGATATTTTTTATACTTAATTGCTGTAGGGACTCATTCCCAGACAGAGCAATAGTCATGACGTCATGGAACCGATAAATGGATTGTTTTTAAATAAATGAAGACTGGCAATAAAGCTGTCCATTCAATTCCAAATATTGGTTATAAGGTAGAGCCACAGATAATTCATTCTTGTTTAGAAACTCCTTCTGTTACTATTCAAAAAAATGTTTTTAATCATGCTAATAAACGTTTTTGGAGATGACTCTGGCACCATGTTTAAGTCACTTTCAGATTTGAAACATGCAGGCTGAGCGGGGAAGGCGAGCTTCGGCTTGGGCATGGTGGAGGATGCAGTTTGTGGAGAACCTCAGGCAGCTTTGACATCCCTAGAATGAGCATTTAGATACAGTGCTCTAGGGAGCACCAGCCTCAGTCAGTGTTGGGAAGCATCTGCTTCTGGCCAGGCTGTCCCACAGCTTTGCCCTAGATGACCTCCTGTCCTCAGGACTGAAGCATTCCATTGCATTGACTGACAGGATGCAGCCTAAAATGTCTTTATTCAACTTCTTCCTCTTCCTCATATGCCTGCTTCCCAGAACTTGGCTTATCCCCAAGTCCTTAACTGAGTTTAGTATTTGCCAAGAATGTGTATGTTTGCTGAAGACCATAGCTGATACATGCTAGAATCAGGAGTGCCTCCAGGAAACTCAGAAACATGGTGCTAGAGGAGACCTCATTAGCAAGATCAGTAACCATTGTGGACATTTCAAAGAGCAGACTGCTTAACCCAGGACCTAAAGTCCCAGTGGTCACAGCAGTGACAGTGCATGAAGTGTGGGTAGTCACAGTATGTCACCCAGGTGCTCATTAACTGTTCACATTTACGAACAGAAATTGTGAAATTGCAATATAACGACAACACCTAGGCGACAGGGCCACCGAGTGTTCATTAGGAGCATCACCTCTACATCCCCACCTCAGCAGCCCTCCACTGTTACTGCATGTGGGCCATGCAAACGGTTGGTGCAGATTGTTAGTGGTGTGTTCCAGTGATTTTATTTTTCAGGACGTGATAAATGAGGTACAGATAGTGCCCTAGATTGTGAACGGAGGGATGGAGCAACCCTAACATACTTCTTTTGCAGTGGAGACTTGCTTCTTTAGCTAGCTGATGTCTTTAGGAGCTGCTGTTTAATCCTTCCAAACCAGGGACAGATATTCTGAGGCTAGTGACCCTAAAGCGGCTCCTGTCTTTGAAGTTGAGGTCTGTTGAAAAATACTAAAAAAGCAGAGAAAACATGTATGTTTGTGCATTCTAAAGACAATTTCTCAAGAAAATCTGAGGTTCTCCGAAGACCAGTTTATTAGAAATGCTGGTTTTTTTTGGCTTGGAAATCAGATGTATTCCTATTACTGTCTGGGCTGGGAAGTCTTGGCACATTGTCACCATTGGCCACTAGATGGCAGTGTTGCTTACTGACTGGCAATGGTTCACCAGCCATGGACTCCTGCTTTTCTCCCCAAGGATAATAATGCTGCCTTGTGTACACCATTCCTGGGGTAAGTGCTTCAAACCCAGTTAAGGCTGTGTCTGAGAAGCCAAGAGCTCAGCTGTGGTCAGGCACGCTTGCTATGTGACCCGAAAGGTGAGTGGAGAAAGGAAACACAACTTGCCCCTGGGATTCCTGGTGCCCTGCACCTGCATTCAAAACCTCTGGAGTGTTGAGAGCACCGATTACAGAGAAGGGAGGGGGAGAGGACACAACGTTCCTTGCCGCTTCCCCCTCGGATGAAGTCATTAAAACCGCAACTTTTCCACCATCCCGTTTGAACTGTCAGCCGGTTTTGTTGGTTTGGTGTAGCCAGTTTGCAACAGGAAACAAGCTGGGCAGGGAAATAAGTGAAACTTTGGTGTTTCCAGTCATTAACGTTGTACAGAAGTTAGGGCTGACACCACAGAGCACAGACTTGGCCTCCTCATTGGCTTGAAACAACCAGAATGTTCACAGATTTACGGCCCAGGTATCAAAGATAAATTGGATTGGCAGATAGTTGAATAAATGTTTGTTGAGCAAGCATGAGGATCCCCATGAAGACCTTGGAATCCTAGCATGTGGGAGTCAGACATCCCTGGAGCAAGGTGGCTCCCCAGGTAAGACCCTGCCTCAGTCTATACAGTGGAGTGCAATTGAAGCAACCGGAAGTCAGCCTTGGACCTCAGCACGCACACATGTACCCTCATACCCAAACAAACACACACACACACACACACACACACACATAGAGGGAGAAGTTCATATTGTATCCACCTGAAGAAATACTTCTGATGTAAATGAGAAAAATCCACCCTGAAATTGTAGTCCTGTGACAGGAGATTCTGAGGTCTCGTGTAGCTAGTGGGTAATGAGTCGCTAAGAGGCTGTGCATAGTGATTGTGGAGCCCCACAAAATGCAGCTACATACACATTTTGCTTTACCAGTTCAGTGTGTTTGTGTTGTCTACCTTCTAGGTAGGAATTCTAAAAATTGAATAGTGTCTTAATTTTGAACTATATTAAAAGTAAACTGACTTGGGACTAATTCCATGTTTGTAAAAATTAGAGTTCTATCTGATTTAGCTCTTGTCTCGCAGGCCCTCATGCTCCTCTCTGATGGACCCATCCCGTGTTCCAGGCTGTCAAGTTTCCAATACTTTTTCTCATGGTCTTTTCCTATCCGCAGCTCCCGTTCAGGATGCTCCACTCCTGCAGCTGGTTTTTTTTTTTTTTTTTTTTTTTTACTTTTTCAAAAGTTTACCTTTGTGTGTATAAGTGTTTTGCCTGCATGTGTACATGTGCTGGTATGTGTGCCTGGTGCCAGTGGAGGTCAGAAGAGGGCCCCAGGTCTTCTAGAACTGGAGCTGTCCATTGTGAGCCACCATGTGATTGCTGAGAATTGAACCCAGGTCCTCTGGAAGAGCAGCCAGTGCTTTTACCCACTGAGCCCCCTCCAGCTGATTTCATTTTTAAATTATCAGTGCTCACTGAAATAGGATGTCATCATTTTCTTTTTTCCATTTTTTATGTAGTCAAATACATGTAACATAGGTTAACCACCAACCATTTTCAATGATTTTTATGTAGTCTAATGAGGCAATCTTTTCTCTCATCTGTCTCTAGAACACTTCATTTTGCCAAACTGGAAACTTCATATTAAACGACCAACTCCATATCCAAGTTCCATCCTTGTATATACTAAGGGAAATAAATGAGTCTCTCTCTCTCTCTCTCTCTCTCTCTCTCTCTCTCCCTCCCTCCCTCCCTCCCTCTCTCATTTAAATCAAATTGCCATTTAATTTCACACACACACACACATACATGCAAAAAACAAAACACTATGAGTCTATATCTGCAAGGAGCTTAGAGTCATGAAAGTAGAATGTTTATCCATTTGTCTACTAATAGACACTCGGATTGTTTCCACATTTCAGATGTTGTGAATGATGCTGCTGTGTTTATGAATGTATAATTATTTCTTTAAGACTTCACTTTTGGGGAGCAGATACCAAAAGTGGAACTGCTGGATCATATTGTAACTCACTCTAGTTTTTTTAGAAACTGCAATGATGAAACCATTTTATATTCCCACCAGCAGTCCCCAGAGTTCCAGTTTCCTCACATCCTTGCCAGCACTTTGTATTTTAGATAGTAGGTGTCTAATGTGTATGAGCTGATACTGTTTGGTTCTCATTCCCTAATGATGAATGCATCATACTTTTATAGTTCAACTTGGGGCGTTTGGCTTCATTTCCTGGTAAAGTGCACTTTGTAAATACTGGTACCGCTGAACAACAGAATCCTTTTTCTCTATGAAATATTAGACCTCTATGAAGAATTGGGAGAATATTATTACATAACTAGAATTTAAGAGTCCCTCTGGGTCTGAAAGTCAGTCTGACCTATTCAGATGAATTAATGCCTTCAGTATAAAGCCATTTCAACATTACTTTCAGTACCTGTAAGATGGTGACATAACATTGATGTCTGCACTTCAGTTCTAGAACATAAGAATAGATACGATGCCCAAATGCTGTTGTCGGCCGCCCCGTTAGGACTTGACACAATAGTGATTTATTTTGGGGGGGTGGGGTCTTGCTATGTTGCCAGGCTGGTCTCAAACTCAAGGGTTTGGAGTGATCCTTGTATTCTGGCTCTTTGAATGCAGGGAACTGTAGTTTTGTGCCATGCCTTGGCTGGGATATTAAATGCCTATGAGCACCCAGCTCTCGCCCAGCAGTGGGTTGAAGTGGCCAGGACTACGTGGCCATCCCTGAAGTTCACAGTATCAGTTTCTTAGCACTTGGGTTTCACACTGACGGCTGTTAATGGTCACAAAGCCCTGATGAGCTTTTGCATTCCAAATATCATGCTAACTAGAGAAAAGAAAAGCAGCCGAAAAGAAGACAGTGAAGACAGCTTCACCCGTCTGGTTTGTAGCGAGCTTCACCCGTCTGGTTTGTAGCCTAGCGTACCTCCGGTGACATTTTGGTAGGTATCCTTGCA